CAAAAACTTTTATTTTGGATGCGATTAATCGCGATTAATCGTTTGACAGCACTAATATTTAGACTTACCAGGGTTACTTAGGGTTGGGTACCGTTCACATTTTAACTGGTACGGTACTGGTATCGGTACCTGAATTTCGGTGCCGGTACCCAACGGTACCTTTTTTCGGTACTTTACTCTCTGTGTAATTACAAAAACATTTATTTCAGTGAAAAAATAAGTACAAAAGTCTCAATTTCAACATTTTTAACAATAGGATCCTACAAACTTTTTCTTTTTTTCTTTTTCCCCAGAAATTCTTGTTTTATTTTTTTCTGAAAATCAAATGAAGGCATTAAACATTTATTTTAAATCAAATGAAAATTAAACCCTTTTATTTTTTGGCAAACAAACTGAGGTTTACTGTTGAAATTAATACATGGAAGAAAAATTGTGTGAATATTCCTTTAAAACATTTTTAAATAGGCTAATAATTGTATTATTATTTTCTACAATTAAGGAAATGAAATGGTAAAATTCTCGTGAAGTGACTCTCACAGCAGCTCTGGAAATTACGTTTTTGTGTTCATGCCGTCATACAGTGAGAGGCAGAGGCTGAAAATCACCGCGAGCGTTACGCGTGCTTCAGTATTTGTGTAGTAAAAAAAAAACGCGTTTCTGCCATTCATACATACAGAGGCAAGCGCAACATGCAGGACTCATATTTAAACCGTCTTTTTGCATTTTAATATTTACAGACACTAGTTCATATCGCGATTCGAATTAAATATGCAGATTGCTCAAGAAACATTTCTGATTATTATCAACGTTGAAAACAGTTGTGCTGCTTCATATTTTTGTGGAAACTGTGATAAACTTAATTTTTCAGGGTTTTTTGATTAATAGAAAGTTCAACAGAGCAGCATTTATTAGAAATAGAAATCTAACATTTAAATGTCTTTACTGTCACTAAACATCAATGTGGAGTAAAGACAGTATTTTAACATTGTAAACATGACGCACTTGTACAGCAGCAGGATGTTTTTGTAATTCATCACAACATGGCATCCCTTATTTTTAGTTTGAGGTGATTCACTTGATTTTACGCATGATCCTGCTGTGTACAAACTCAAAGGAGCTCAGAGACACAATTAAGTAAATTGCAAATATTGAACTTAATTACTCCTAATAAGCAGAGTCATCCACACCGCTGCAGGGCTCAGATTGTGTGTTGTTAGTTCAGTTTGAGGTTGTCATGTGAATGTGCTGCTGCAGTGTTGAGTGTGTGTTTGTGCAGAGCTAAAGGGCTTCAGCTTCACTATGATCTGGATGTGTGTCGTGTCGGGAGTCGCACTGACATCAACGAGCTGCGCGCTCTCAGGAGACAGTGGCAGCACAAAGTCAACACCGTCATCCTCAACGTCACCATGGAGCTCATCGTCAACATCTTCAGGTCTGGAGCTCAACACTTCTAGAGCTCATATCGTTTTTTTGTCGTTGTATTATTTTCTTTGTCAATTTGCACAAAAGAGGGTCTTAAATTTGTTTTGCATGATCATGTTTTTACCTTCTCTCTGACTCCTTACATTGTGTCTTACACTATATTTAAGTTTGTTTTTGCTTTTTTTATGTTTTGTAAAAATTGTATTGTTATTGTTAGCTAAATCTATAAAAAAAATATTTTCTGTAATTTAAATTAAGCTGAAATAAAATGAAATATAAATATTTAATGAAGAAAAACTTAAATGTGAAAAATGTAAACAATTTGTTAAAAATTTTCCCATTAAATTTTGCTGATTTTTTCCAAGAATTAAAATGTTTAACTTAAAATACTAAAATTACTAATACTAACGTATAAATAAAAATAAATTAAAGCTAAGTAGAAATATTTAAACGAATAAAACGACAAATCAAATGACAAAAGCACCTCACAAAATTACTAAAAAAAATATATATATATATATATACTATTAATAAATACCACAACAGTAACCCCAAATGACTCAATGTACACTGATGCCAAAAAACAATAAACTCTTTTCCATATAAATGT